AGCCTTGAAGTATATGATGATGTACAATTAGATATGGAACTATAGATGAAATGGTTGGCTTGTTAATTTTTAGTTTTAATTTTATTCATTATTATTCCAAACAGATCACTATCAATCACATGGAAACCTAAGTTTGGTCGGCTTGTTACACTAATTTTGTGATTGTCAAGTTGTTCTTTTTCCTTTTCTTTATTTTTTGCTGCATTGGAAATGCATTTTGACACTACCCTTATTTTAGCTAGAAAACAGATTATAGTCCTTTGATCCCTTATTTGCAATTTTTGTTTTTCAAAATATTACAAAGTAAATTTCAGTTATTTTGTCATTTTTCTGGACAAGTTTAGAATTTTTGGTTGGTGGTTAACTCTGGATTCCTGGCTTCCTGGCTTCCTGCTATTAATTTCCAGATCTGTTGAGGATCCTGTTAAAGACAGTAGTTGAGAGTAGCCTTCGGTTTTACTGAGAGAAGAAGAAGGTTTAGTTAATACCTAATGCACTTGTAATTTTGTTAATTTGTGCTGATTTGTTCCTAATTCAAATGCAGTTTAATTTTGTTGGTATTTGCTTCTTCTTTTTCTTTCTTTCTTTTCGATTATAGTTTCTTTCTTTAATGCTATTGATCTAGCGTCTTTTGTTGGTTGGTCCTTTTGCTATGCAACCAAACAGTGGTTGTATTTTGCTTAGTTGAATAATAATTTGAATTTAGGCCATGTATCTTTGATTAGCAGCTATTACTGTTTGACTGATTCCTGGACAGTTCAAACCCAAAATACAATTTTAGCTTAAGAATAGATTAAGGAGCAATTTATTAATGCTAGCCAACCCCGTTGGTTCTCTTGTCTTAAATTTTCATAATAGAATTCTAACTAATAAAACTATCTTACACCTTAATGGCATGCTTCCTCATGGGAAAAATGCATCTCTTCTTCTCCCTTTTTGTCTTCAATGATAACAAACCAAAACAAAAGAAAAACAAAAAACCCCATATTTAAATGAGACTGAGTTATTGAGTTATTCCATAAATTATCCAAATGAGACAGATAGGATGTCCGGCTTTCGGATCATCGAGCCGTATTTAAGATTTTGTGTTGTAGCAGCAAAATAATAGTATTATATTGTTTACATAATTCCTAATTGCGTCTTTAGCTTGTCTTGTGTTTGGTTACTGAGAAAGCTGCGGGAAATGAAAATATTCAAATTAGAATTTTTTTTTTTTTTAGCTGAGTCAGCCTCTTCTTTTTCATGAAATCTGATAATTGCATACTAAGGCTAACAAGCTTGTAAAATAACAAATAGGCTTTAGTATTCTTAATGTCCTGATGAATTAACAATTTTTTTTGGAATGGATGAGATCTGAAAATGTTAATTCAGGAGTGAGAGGTGTTGATCCCATTAAAAGCAAAGCTGATTACCTTCAGCTAACCTATGACTTATCTCTGTTCTTAAATTGTAGCAAAGTACTATGAGAATCTAGGTGTATCTATGTCGTTTGTCCAGGACAAGAAACATGTTTAAAACTGAGTTATGAATGTACAAAACAACATTTTTCATTCTTTTGGCACATTTGATTTGAGTTATCGTCTTCAATTTTTTTTTGTTTTCTGTTTTCATTGGTTTTAATTTGTTGGTTACAGTTTTATCATTTTATCACTATGGATAAAAAAAAATTATCCAAATGTTTATTTTAATTTTTTTTTTTTACTTTTTCTGTTTTCATTGGTTTTAATTTGTTGGTTACAGTTTTATCGTTTTATCACTATGGATAAAACATGGATAAACTCGAAAGAAACCTCAAGTCCAGATTACATAGAAGGAATTTTGAATTTTGTAAATTTTACATTTGAGAAATCTGCAAAAG